TAACTATTATAAACTGATTTTCATCGAGAAGCGTTAAAAATTAGCCCTTTTTCTCCTATGAACTTCAATTTTCGTTATATGTGAGGGGGGGATTTAAAAAATTATCCCGATTCGACCAAAGTTTGCATACCAATTAAGAATGCCGAAATACTGTTACTTAGCCACTTTTGTTGAAAACCTCTAAAAATCGAAATTTTTGTTTTCCATAAACGACTCTGAAAAAAAGGGTGCTATATGGGGAGTGGTCGAAAAGGGGACCGATCCAAACCATTTTCAATAGCATTTGTACTTCGGTTAAAGCACATCAGTATACATAAGGTTAATCTAAATATCTCAAAAATAGCGACCTGTGGCTTGAGCACAAATTTACATGGGCACGCGTCAGACGGACAGATAGGCAGGCGGACAGACAGGTTTTTTTATCAATATAATAAAAGGTGGATATATCTTAAGCGCTCCTGCGTGTTACATACGTTCACACGAACTCTATATACTCTGTACCACTTGTGGTGTAGGGTGCAATAAACACAGCGTATCCACCCATCCAATCGAAATCAAACTCCAAAGCAAATATTACACTCTAAGCAAAATAATCGTCGAATGTAATAAAGCTGTGAGTGCACAATCGCCAAGTGAAATTACTAAACAAACCGCGTCAACAAACAAAAGGCATGAAATTTCCACAAGCTACAATTAAATTAAAAAATGTAAAACCAAACTAAAATAACACGCGATTCTTGGAAGACGACGGAAACGATAGAAATGAAAACGTGTTTGCAAAGCTTATGAAGCCCAACGAATGTGTGGCACGATAAAGAGTAGCGTTTAAGTAGCGTTTAATAGAAAGTGAGAAAAAAAACTCAGAAAATATGTTTAAAAAATAAAAATTTATACAAGTGTGTTGTCATTAAGTCAAAAATAAAGGAACCAAACTGGGAATGTTTAGCGAAACTCAGTGAAAGCAAGAAAAAAATTTTTTTTTCCGCCAGATACCGTTTTACGATTTACTTCCTAATCCGAAGCCCTAAGGACATATTTTTCCGATTTCACCCTCTAAAGAGTAATACCTTCGACTGGCGATGCATTTGGCTTATGGGCCTGGAAGGAGCATGGGATAACATATTAATTTGTCTTCAAGCCCTATTGCTGCTTACGCCTGCTAAGTTGTCTACGCCTACAGTGCAACGTACATTCTCAACAATTTTAAATTATGCTCCCTATAACAATCTTCTCTCTTTTTTGCCTAGCTTTGATATGTTTCAAGGTATCTAAGCCAAAAAAAAAATCGGAAAGTGATCTTATGCCTTAAGCAAAGTGGCCTCGTTAAGATGATCAAATTTATGGATCACGGAAGTCACGATATTTAACTATAGAGGCAAAGCTAAGATGAACAATCGACAGTCATAGGCGAAGAGTCTCTGTGCTTGCAGAGCTTAATGAGACGAAACCCGCAGGCTTATAGGGTAATTTACGAGAGATTTCCGGCACATTCTTGTTTGCAACACAATTCAACAGGACAGAGGTTCTTTTCCAAGACTGGAGTACCACGTATGAAAGTTTGGCTATGGTCCAGGCTTTGCATCTCTCACCATGTAAAGCTCCCGCAATTGGGGATAACCAAAGTCACCGAAGGGCCGCATCCAGCAGTCACGCCTCATACACGGTTTCTGCTAAAGTATATTGCAGCACTATCGTTAAGCTAAGAGTAAGCACCTGTGATACAGAGCGAGTGGGCAGCCCGGCCTCCATGAATCCTAAAGTTTTATTCCGTAATGCATTAGGATCATCGGCATTATGCTTTGCGTAGATACGAACATATTCTTGCTTTTAGATTATGAGTGGGTCTTGGTCGCCACCCAGCTAATATCCTTTTGATATTTCAACGAACAAGAAGCGGATAACAACGCAGCTTGCTCCAGGCACCAATTCGCGTTACGAGCTTCTCGGTCCTCTTTGGAAACGCGCAGCGCTATTTGCAACTAAATTCTTAGTAAAACAGACGACTCCTGACGACTCTCTCGACGACTTCCCCCAGGTGAGGCTTTTGTCGCTGGGAAAAGTCAGAGCCATGAAAAGAAGTTTAAGAGCAGCAAGCAAAAAACCCAAAAGCGAGCTAAGACTTCTTTGAGGCGAGGATACGTTGATTGAAATTGCGTACAAAGACACGAATACCACGGATTTCGTAACTATCCAGCGAGTTATTAAGAATGTACCTTTTAATATCATATGATATGAAGCGAAATTGAGATTCAATCGGAGCAGCATTGCATCCCTCCTTTCGAATGCAAAGTTCGGTTTCGCTTAGTCTGCTCTAAAAGGCAACTTTATTAAAGCGTTTCAAGTCCTTCTTTCGCCTATACACAATATTTCCGTACCTGCGTACCGTTCATTAACTTGAACGTGGATGGAGAGGGTTGTTTGCGATAATCTGCTGAATGATATTCAATATCCTTTCACATTTTACACTCTATAATTGCTATTTGAACGGTATGTGTTTAACACTAAACTTCATTGAAAAATCCATCACAGATGTCTTTTTAAAATTTTCAAATTTTCGAAAACTTTTTTTCAGTTTTCGATTATTTGTATTTTTTGAACAGTATCGTATTTGAATATTTGGGATAAAAAAGAAACAAGTTTTAGCACATTATTGGGACCACTTATCATTCATTAAAAATAATTGATAATTAAAAAATAGCCCTAAACGACCTACATTTGTGTTTCTCTTCTCCGCTCGCAATTTTCACGCAAAAGCTTTCCTGCACGCACACACACACGAAATGGTAAGACAGAGACAACGTAAATCCATTGAAGAATTATATGGCGGTAAATATGATGCTTCCAAATCGCAAGTAACTAATAATGCTTCAAAAAATCCACGAACTGATCGTGATTATGGTTATATAATAACGTCGAGCACGCCATACAACACGGGCGGATCAATACCTGCCGCAAATACAAACAGTAATGGTGGTAATGGGGCTGCAAGTACGGCACGCCGTAAAAGTGCCCGGACCGCAGCGGTCAAGGGCGCCGAAAAATATTATAGCAAGGATGAGAAAATTCCAAATCTTGACGATTTGAAAAAAGATCACAATATAATCAAATCTAAAACATCACGTGTCGAAAAATGTCCGTATACAACGTCGACCAATATGTACGATAATAAGACCTGTGGCAGCGCCTATACTGAACGTCATAAGGAGTCGGGCGGTGAGGCCGTCGGCGCTCATCAACATTCGCATCAACAACACTCGCATCCACATCAACATCAGCATCATCATCATAACCACAATCATCGTACTGCAAGTCATGATGATGATAAAGATGATGACACCGAAGAATTTTTCGAACTGATAAGGCAAACAGTAGAAAGCGCTATAGGGGTAAGTTTGAATGAGGGCAGCGGTAGTGGCCTTACCTGCCGCACCTATCGATCCTAACACAGATTATCTTGATATTTACATATTAGAGAAATGCATTGGGTCATTTTCAGAAATCGATATCTGATCTATTGAATCGTAATTTTCGTGAGTTGGCCACAAAGGTTGAGCGTTTCTCGTCCGAGCTAAAAAACACCAACACCTTGCTAAACAAATTACAAACTGATCTTAATAATAGTGAGTATAAATAGGAGCACACTTAACTAAAAATAAATGTTATGATGTTTCGACAGAAGTGGTACACTATGGCGAAGAGAATTCTCGACATTTTCGCTACCTGTGCATGAAATCCGAATACGATAAAATGTTTTATCAGCATCAATCGATGATGGCAGCTGTAACGCCCTCAGCTACCTCCCAGCAGGTTGATAAGCGAAGTAGCGGTGGCAAAGGCAATACTTCAAACAACATTTTAGTTTCGACAGTCACGGATAATGATAAAACTAATGCTTCGGCTCCGATACCCTGCACATGTCGGAGTAATAAATCTAATAATGCCAACGAATACAAAGAGCTCACTCATAAGCAATCATCTGAGGATCACAGCCTAAGTCAGAAATCATCGGAAGTGGGCATGCGTGAAGTGCTCGAGCATATACAGCGTTTTTGCACGCAAATGCAATTGAATGATCTTAAGTGCGATCATTTGCCGCCCAACGTCCAATCCTCAATGAAGCGTGGCGGTTATCGTCGCGAGGACGCTCTCAAGATTAATGAAGAAATTTTCCAAGACGATGATGACGATTTGGAAATCAGTTCAGATGGTATGACACCACGCAGCGATGACAATAACTCGCACAAATACGGTGCGAATACAATGCGCGGTTGTAATACCACCAGAGGTGGCACCGGTGGCGGTGATGCTTAGAGATCTAAGCGCAATCGGAGCGCGCCAGCGTTGGTATTGAAGGATCATTTGGAGCATTTTTCCCATGAACAAATTTGATTTAAGCTAAATTCTAATCTAATCTCTCTGCAAAAGAGTTTTCGATAGGTTCCCCCTCTTTTTTTTATATAAACATTAACATATACATATATTTTTTACATATATATTTTTATTTGTATTGTATGTGTGTGTGTGTGTGTGTTTGAATGCAAGTGGGTGTGTGTGTGTGTGTGCGTATATTTGATATATCTTGAATTAATTTTTATTGAATTAAATTTGATATTTCATCCCGATATTTAACAAAATGCGTACATAAAAGATAGAAATTCTTATCGATCTGTATGTATTAGTTGGTGTACACACACACACACAACACAGAACTAATTTCTCGTTTAAAACATTGCGTTTCAAACTTATGTATACATATGTATGGGTATATGTGCGTACGTATTTTGTGACAAAAAAAATTAATAAAAACATTTACGGCATAAAAAGGGAGAAGCAAACCTTTGCGTAATAATACTAAACCTAACACCAACGACGTAGATCACAAGTAAATCACTTAAAATAACAAGTGAGTGTAATGAGAAGGAAAGTCTTCAATGGGATTACTTTCAATTTCTCTTTTTAAGGAGCAAGGACGAAGGATAACCAGTTCATGAGCCAATAAGAAAAGAGCTATACGGCAAGATGTGGCGAGCAAAAAAGCGAAAGCGCTCCCGACGTAAATGTTGACCATCAAAATGTGAATTTCGATCTTTGATTGCCATTCCTCAATGTTCTCACATCTAAGAGGCTAAGTGGTGTTAGACGTTTTTAGGAAGAAATAATGCATCGGAAATGATTCGGTTGATTCGGTTCTATATGATTGTAGGCGTATCGGTTAACTTTGACTAGGATCCACTTTCTGACTTTCTATTATCGCAAGCGGCACGAACATATTCGTATGGAATCTAGTGTAAGAAGTAAAACTTTAAATAGAATTCTGTTGTCTGAGCAAAACCTGGACGCCAAGTCGATGCTGATGCTGATGCTAAAAAATGTGCATTTGTCTGGTCGTCGATATGCCATTGGAGAAATTTTCATTCGAATGATTCAAAGCATTCAGTGTTCATATTTGACTTTTCATTATTTTGAGTAATGAACATAGAAACACGAAATATCCTTTCGTGAATGATGATAAAAAAAATCTTTCCACTGGACACCAGAGTAGTTGGGAACATTATTATTACTAAGCGAAATATGCGATATATGAAAATGGATGAAACATGCATTCATCCCAATACTACAGAGTGAAATCGGTGTTCGGCCGAGTGGATGACGACAAACGTCGTTCACAGCGAACTGAATGTCCGGATCTCATTTGAAGGCTGGTCCTATCCATGATATATGACGTATGGGCCTATCAACAGTCTTGCCACATATAGATCAGATCGGAAACTGTTTTAAGTAATGTAATAGATTCATTTCGATGCGTATTTACGCCAATGTACATATTCAGGTAAAGTAGAGGGCACGACTTGGCTAGTATAGCTTAGTTTTTGGATAGTCTGTCGGTGTTGCGTAAATTTCCCTTGAACATGTTTTAAGTACGCGACTTACGTATAAATTCATATCAAAGCTATAAAGAGAAAGAGAAAAACAAAATCTAATCATAATCTGATGAAAAGAGGATTACTTCGTTCTAATGTTAACATTATGTGAATGTGTCGTAAATGTATTCAAACTTAAAATGATTTTGTTACATAAAAACTCAAATTAAAACGTGAATGATATCGAAAGTACAACCTACGCCAGTAAAAAGTTAATTAACTTAATTTTTTTATATACGACATACATTCAAACCTACAAAAGACATACGAAAACATAGCTGAACACATATTCATAACGTAAAGAGATTTTAAGCTTAAATACAATGAAAGTACATTATGGATTACTTTTTACATATATGCATACATAAATACAAGAAATGAGAAAATTGTTTCCAAGAAAGCACAAAGAAAACAAGAAAATGATGTCCATCTTATGGCGAATAGAGGAGAAGGCTTCATTTCCCTTTAAACGGACATTAAAAAGTGCAGTGTTGTGGTTATTTTAAGCGGTTAGTGAACCACTGAAGGGCACATTTCCAAGGCAAATTCCAATAGGAGTTGCGCTCTCACACGATCACCCGTCGAATCCGCCCATAAGTATATGACACCGAATAACACCGGTTGTTAAACTGTAGCATAAATACGGGAAGTTAAATTACGGTATATCCCTCACACAATATAAAGAAGTATTGAAACCCCCGGTCTTTCGTAGTCCGCGTTATAAACTTTAACTTTCAAATAACGTAGCGGCGTAGGAGGCTGAGGGTGAGTTTTCTATACTCGCAGGAAGTTCTGATAATATGATAGGGGTGCGTTGTGTCGATATTTTCTACATAAACCTCTAAAAAAGTATAGTTGAGATCACTTGCGCTATTATAAGGAAGGATCTGAAAGGCAAGTGCAGCAAACAATTGTCCCAAGAAGAGCTAAAAGCTTTATATAAAAAATTGAAACATAACGGCAGCTGCATTCGGCTTTCAATTCGTATGGAATGTCATAGCCGCATACGGTCCTACGGTATGTGTCGCAGTACCTTTGAAAGTCCTAAATACGCGATAACAATAAATATTGATGTTCATTTGGGCCTCGATCTTTCCCAGAGGCTACGAAATGCCTACAAACCTTTAATCGACCTGGTACTCCAGAATTATTCTTATATAAACCATTGCGTCAGGGAGACCAGTGGAATTAAGTCTCCGAATGAGCATCCACACGATACTCATAGAATCATCTATAGCCTAAGGACGGAATACACAATGCCTTCATGGAATATTTTAATTTGCTCCGACGACTACACCATAAGATTACGGATAAGGCCGCAAATAAATGGAGGTTTAATTAATAAATAAGTTCTCAAGGCAGACAGAATATATGGCAGAAAATGCCAGACATATAAATAATCCAAAGTAAAGTTATACTACGTACGGTCTGCTTCTAATCAACACAAATAAGAAGGTTCTACTCGACGGGGGCCGAATCTCGCGTACCCACTATACAAACGCTTGCTACCCTTAGGATTTCGATTTCCAAGAAATCTGCTTTTTCTAAACCAGACCCCGAGGCTTATTAAACTTTTAAACTTCCACAATTTTATCGCTTTCTGCTCTCCAACGTCTTTCACTTGATACCTACATCGAAGGTATATTTAAGAGAGTAATTATCCACTAAGGCGTAACGTCTACCTCAATTAACTTAGCTTCTCGCTTTCTACTCTCCGAGTCTGTTCATGAAAAAAAACAACATGAGTATATCCCCATCGTTCAGCGGTGGGCATAAAAGAGTTAAAAATATTTTAAAAGTTTTCTTCAAGAAGTATCTCGTTATCTATCTACAAGAACACTGTTAGCCATCTGAAAGGATTGAATTATTTATCGCCATAATTTGCAGTTCGTGTTCAGTTACTTTATTCGAGTTGTATCGATTTCTTATCGTCAAGTGCTCAGCCAGTCATATAAAGAATAAATCCCGAGAGGACTGCGAAAAGTGAACTTGTCACTCCGCAACAATCGCTAGACATTATTTCATTTTATTGTGCCAATCGGATTCGGAGAAGTGATATCCTCTTCACAAAGCATGAGTCAATTTTTCAAAAATAGCAAATTAACATATGCCGTTGCAAAATTATAATAACCTTATGATCTCTTCACAATCCGTGAAACTTAAGGGCTGGCTTGTCATGGAGCCTTTTTCAATTTGCTTTTCAATGTAAATACTTTCGGTTAGTATTCCGTAAGGAGAGCAACTAACAATTTCTCATATCTCTCTCTCTCTCTCTCTCTCTCTCTCTCACTCTCCTCTCTCACTCTCACTCTCACTCTCTCTCTCTTTCTCTTTCTCTTTCTCTCTCTCTCTCTCTCTCTTTCTCACTCACTCACTCTCTCTCTCTCTCTCTCACGATAGGATAAGCGAAGTGATAAATTTATTACCCGAAAGGCGGATCACGAAATCGCATTTTCTTTATTGATTTCTTAGCCAATTAAATGTAAACGTGTTGGTCTCGACTGTAGAAAATTTTAAACGCTATTCTTGACTTTCCATGTGATTCTTGGCTTACATATTTTATAGATTTTTAATGCTTCCTGTTTCAACTTGTCTTCTATTACTATTTGTGCATTTGTTTTGTGTGTTTTTTTTTTTTTTTTTTTTTGGTTTTGTTGCACCTTGACAATAGATCAACAATAATGGATTATAGATGACCTTACCTTAACATACGGCATGGACTTTTGGAAAATTGTTAAGTTGAAATGTATGCTTGGGAAAAAACTGTGAAAACTAGTCGTATTATTAAAATTAGCAAAAAACACAAGTACAACATGTATTAGATGCCCTACATCACTTCGCTGAATACAGTTACTAACTCGTTATGGTAACAGTACATTAAAAATGCAAAGGACTTTTCACGAAAGCCCGCATATCGGAGGAGTCCTTATATGCGATGGTATCCAAAAAATATATCTACGTGATCTAAATTCGGTACGCTTGATTTCTATATTAATTTACGATTATGAACTAATTTTCACCATAAAATATTAAAAACTGTACACTTTTCCTATATAAAAATTCCATTTTCGTAAACACGATTATATGAGATGGTGTTCAAAAAATTGCCCCAGCCGAACTAATCTTTCCTTATCAATTTAAAAAATCCTTATGGCTATCACAGAGCGAGTTTTGTCGACAAATTTTAAAAATTGCAATCTTTTTCCATGCGGCGACTTTTAAAAATAGGTCGCTATATGCGGAGTAGTTGAAAAAGTGGACCGAACCAAACCATGGTATATGAAATCTCATCAAAATATCTTAAAAACTGCGACCAGTAACCTGAATAGAGACTTACATGGACAGAGAGTAGGCGGACAGATGGACAGACAGACTTAGATCGATTCAGATTACGATTTCGAATGGATCGGTATAATAAAAGGTAGGTCTGTCTTAAGCCCTTCTGCATGTTACATACGTCCGTACAACATGTACCGCAAGTGGGTTAGTATACCTATATTATTATTATCTCCATTTGATGGTTTGCACTTTGACGATTACATCTTACTAATGCGTTTATTGCAAAGTAATTGATCTTTTTTGGTCAAAATGAAAGAAAAGAAAGCTTTTCGCATGACCGTTATTCGATAAAGTTCATCCGCTAGCGATCTTATGACTTGCGCCAATTAATGCTTTTATTTTTCCGTCATCAGTTTATCATATCCAGTGATTTTTTTTTTCTTGCTTTTGATGATAATAAAGTAAAATATGCAGAAAATTCTGCTTCCGTCTTGGTATCTTTAACAAAATACCGCACAACCACTTTTTCATAAACAAACCTTACTATATAGTATGTTCTTTCCTGGAGAAGAAAAAACCGACGACTTTTCGACCACTCCAGTATATTATTATAGGTGTTTAGTCTTTAAATTAGACGAAAGTATACATCTGTAAGCGCTGTACGCTTTTTGTAGTGAATAGATCGACAAAATCGCTGCAACACGTCCATGCGGCGATAATAGAAAATCCCAAGTTGCTTGGTAAAATCTCCCTCGTCCAGAATAACGCATTAAATGGAAGCGTTAAAAAAATAAACCTAAAACAAAAAAGTAAGCTAAGGGTCTATGCCTTTCCTACGCGAGGAGAGGGAAATCACTGTGCACAGTAGAATTAGTTGATACATTCATTTTAGAAAAACTTCAGTGCCTTCAATGTCGTTCAAATAACTCAAATTGTGTTAAAGTTAGTAGAAACTGACCGAAAATTTGTACAATTTCCCCGTTGACGCCATGAGGATCTGACGACCCAATTATGCTGCAGAACATACAAGCAACAACCATGCAGCCACATTGTATATCATATGATTACGTTTCCACTTTGAGAGAATCATACGTGAATGTCGACAGAAGCTCATTGCGACAGAGGATAAATAGAAAGGGCCCTAAGTGAATAATTTGCGCGATACCTAAGGTCACAGAAATATTTTTAAAAGACAAAGAGTTTACCTGGAACACAATTATGAGCACATTATGAATGTTTTATACAAAAGTCAAATGTTCCACCCTTTACATAACATACCCTTCGCATTATATTGGTCGAAACGTTTTTCAAAAAAAAAAAACCAAATATTTTATTTAGTACTTGGGTTGTAATATAAAACCAGTATTCAATCAAGTGAAAAATCTATATTATAAATGCGCTGACAGACGAACGGTAGAAGAAACATGGTAAAATAAAGAAAAATGTCCCAAAATTTAAATGTTTATGTAATGAAATATTAAGTAATTAACATTAAGGGGTAAAGCCTAAAAACAAAGGGTTATTTGATTAATTTTTTTTTGGATGGGAAGAAAGATATAAAATAATAATATTTAGCGGGGTTGTTAAGCGCATTTTTAAGCATGAAAAAAAAAAAAGAAGAAATTATCAAAAAATGGCAACACCGCCTCTACTCTCTGAAGACATTGCCACCATACGGATTGCTTAGATACGTATATTAACTTTTGCGCGATTTGTGTGCATTTGAATGGAAAGATTCAATTTTTGACTGAAACCACAAGGAGCTCTTTTATTATTAAAGAGCATTTAAATTGACTTTGGGAAAATTATCACAGGTCCTGCCCTACACAATGCTATTGAATGTTTTTAAAAACTCGCCAAAAATGAAGAAGATATTATAGGTGGTGCACTGACAGAAAGCCGTAGCAGCAAGATATCAAAATAAAGGAAAATAAAAAACATTAAACTACACCAACTTACACTTACTCATATAGAAAGCTTCCAAAATAAATCGAAAAGTGGTCCGATCCAAATCATTTCCATCTTCAATTGCTGTCTGTTGTAGAGTTGAACACAAGAAAACGAAACGGACGAAGGCACAGACAAGATTACATCAATTCGGTATCACTTGGACATAAATGAAAGGATCCTGAGGTGGACCAAAGAAGTTCATCGCGCCAAATTTCATCAAAATATATCAAGAATTTTGGTTTGTGGGTTAGATTGATTATAAAAAAGCAGATGGATAGACGAGCTAAGATCGATTCAAAATCACTTGAACATAAATGGAAAGAGTCTCAGGTAGTCCTTCCAATCGAGTGTTTCACATAAGCTCTGTATATATGTAACTTACCTAAATATCTAGGAATGCTTCACATCCCTCAAAAGAGGAATTTTATGAAAATATTTCTACTCTTTTCTAACTATTTCGCATTTTCCGAAGATAGCCCTAAAGTTAATCTCGCTACTTTCAGCGAAGTGAGAGATGAGTTTATATCGCTTTGACTTTCGTATAAAAACCTTTTTTTTTATCAAGTTTTGCCATAACTGAACAGTGTATGCGAGGGGCCTTAATTTTTCGCTCTAACTGAGAGGCAAGTGCAAGTGAAGTGCAGAAGCGAATGCTTCTAAAAATTTTTGGAATGAATCAGAAGCGAAGGGACTGAATATGTTACGAATTGAAACCACTGAGATATTGGAAAGCGCTTTTTCGGCTACGAAAAGCTAATTCAGTGACAACAACGTAAAGGTTTTTTTTGCATTGTGGCTGGAAATGAGAAATTTACTTATTTATATTCATTTATTTGTTATACTCTCCACCAGTTGTGATGCAGGAGTATGTTATGCTTGTTCACCTAAATGGACTTCGCATAGTCCCTTCTTTCAGTATACGGATTAAATCAGAATCGTTTTCTAAATAGGTATATTTTTTGTCTGTCCGTCCGCAAATTTTCGAGATATTTTGATGAAACTTGGCACAAACAAAACAGTGACGTGATACAGGCACGAATGCCATTGAAAGCGGTTCAGCTGGGACTACGTTTTCAACCTTAACTTGTCATATAACGCCTTCTTTTGAAAAGTCATGGTAAACATTAAGCGGTAGGGTGTGGAGTGGTTAATAATAGGTCATAGCCCTTTATAATGTTTTTATTCGTTTTTATTACTTTATTTATTTATTTGCGTTTATTTATTAGCAAACCTGCACACATACACAAATGCATAAATGCAGTTTAGTTTTGTAAGTTTCTTCGCCGAGAAAGCGGTAAGCGGGCGAAAAATCAAAGTCTCTTTTCTCTCGCCTTTCAAAACCTAACCTAATACAAGAGGAGGACATGGGATAGGAAAAACTTAAAATAAGACTAAAATACGGCCAACCACGATTCGGCCGTTAAAAGATCAGTAGGTGAAAAGGGATAAAATCATCTTTCAAATTTCGACCGAAAAAGTTATGCTTTGTAATAATTATCTAATTTCTAATTATTGAGCGAAATCTTATTTTTAAGGGTAATTGAGTATACATTTTACAAATGCATAGCGACTTTCTTTGTATCGTATTCGTTGTATCGTTTTGCATATCGAAAAGAAGTCGTGTATGCATGGATACAAGTATGTCTGTTGCCATAACAACTTACTTATCATGCGGTAAACATAAACATTGAAAACCTTACACAGAACAAAGTGTTTTAACTAAAGGTTTTTCTTGTTCGTCTTTAAATGGAAACTAAAAAAAAAAACGTACAGGTGCCTGTCAATTTCTCTATTACTGTTAAACCGTTCGGTGTGCAAGTGTTGAGTACGTTGAGTGTGCCCGTGCAATTGGAAATTTAAAAGGGTGTCGTGCGTTTTTTTCTCTTTTTTTTTTTTTTCTTGTATATTTTTCACTTATTTAAGCCGTTTATTTTATTTTCTTCACTGGATAGGTCTACGGGTTTTTTTTTGCTTTTCTTTTCTTGTATCGCAGTGAACCCACAAATTAGTTGCAAATTTAGTTGTTACTGGTTAAGTGCTGCGTATGGTTATCATTTCAGTTTAAGAATAGAAAATAAGTGAAATTCAATTAAAACGAAATTAATTTAATATAATTTAATTAATGATTAGGTAAATCATTCTAATTATACGGGTACGCCTCGGCGTTTGCGCGAATTAATGCAATTAAATATTTGAAAAAAAAAAAAAAAAAAAAAAAAAATCAAGACAATAGTGTAAATGAGCTGATGTCAAAAAAGAAATGGGAAATATATAATGCAACCGATAATTAACAGTTAATTACAAATAATTAATAATTAATAAATTAATAATATATGAAATTACTTTCTATTATACTTGCGGATTATAAGGCTCGTCAATTAGCCGCGATATCGTACAGCTTCGCTGCGACCTACGGCTCGAAGAGCGAAATTCAAATCCTAATGTTTGGCATAAGCTTGAAGGATTTCTTTAAAGAAAGCATTGAGCTTTTCGTGAATTTCCAGAATACATTACTATTACACGTACTCTCGCTCAGATCGTAAGTTTGCGATCTGAAAGCAGATACGAAAATTTTTCATGTTTCCAGGTTTTCGCAAAGTGTTTAGTATCTTAGAGATGTTCATCCAAAAGGTATCGGACTGGTTTTACGTTCCATGTCAAGATATTTGACATCAAGGTACAAGGGACGGACATATGCGAATCTCGGAAAGATTTTAAATTGACCCATCTTTCCGATCAGAATCGGTTTCTGAATTACTTTCTAATTTGCTTTAAGCTTGCCTTTGTGTCTGTCCGTCTTTTATTGTTATGTTCAAACCTACACGACGCTAATTTTGAGATATTTTAATCAAACTTAGTACACCAACGTGGTTAAGCCCAAAGACGATGATCGCTATTAAAAATGGTTCGGATCGCATCACTTTTTCAATCGCTTCCTATATCATCTCTTATTTTGAAAAGTCGTTATATGACCAACTGTACCAAGCGAAAGGCTATAGACTATGTGCAACTATACGGTTTCTTACTGTTCCAATACTGTTCCAAAACTGTTATTTTTGAAAGTAGTATAAGAAAATTTTTTGTTATAATACTAAGGATTTTCGGTTGAGTTGAGCTAAATGTTAATTAATTCGGATGAGGTTTTTAAAAGTGTTGGGCTTTTAAATTATTTCATGAGATAATTATTAAAACAATTTTAAACAAATAGACATTTTTTTTAGGTTCAAAAAGACTTATAGCGGTTTCAAAAAAGCACGTATTATAAGAAATAGAGACGAGATCATATTTTTGTAGACATTAGCTTCACTGGAACGGACTTTCTGATGTAAAAAACAATAATTGATTTGAAGGCACGAGTCATCAAGCTTTCTAAAGTTTTTCTTTGGTTGTATTTGTTGCCTTTCTACAGGTTTGGTTGAGGTAAAGACTTCTCTTTTCATTTCATACAAAGTGAGGCTATTCTCCTCGACAAGCCTTTATTGCATTTTAATAGTCTTGAGAAGTACATAACAGATCTTTACTACTTTAAAATCGCTGTTGTTCAGTTGAAATAAACGACCGGACACCTATGTTATTTATGCCATAATACGGCCTTGGCTTCTAATATTCTGAATATGTTTCAGTCAGGAAGATGCTGAGTCGTCCACACCTCTAGATTCTACCCTACACCACCCTAAACTTATTCACATAAAAACTTTTTCAAGGAATCTATTATGCGGTACGTGGTCGAGAATGTAGATCGATGCGAACTGTTCGTCCTTGTGCCAGAACATGTCCGTGTATCAAACTCCATTAAAATATCTTTATAATTGCGGACAAGAATGGACAGATGGACGCCTAAATCAAATCAGAATATTGGCTCTGAATTAATCAGAATAATAAAATACATCACACACATGTACCACAGGTGGCGCGGTGCGCTAAACCAAAAGCTTTATGTTTTTTTGGAATTATCGGCGGGAAGAAACATTATTTGGAATCATGTATGCTTGTCTAGAGAATGTCTAGAAAATATAATCATCATTGTTTATGTATGTATTATGTTTTTAGGCTCCTGTATACTAAGGTTCGAACAAATTCTACAAGGCACTTAGCTTAATAAGCTTAATATAATTTCCTTTATGCTGTACTCGTTCGATCGTCCAAATGTCCCAAATGTTCTTTTCTTGAATTTTTTTTAATTTGCATTCACTTTTACGTAAGGTATTTGTAAACTATTTTCACAACTGTATTGTTTTTATTAAATATTGAAGGTATCTGCCACCTTATCATCTTAATCCTAGAAAAGCTTTCACGTTTCAGTTCTAAAAAACCTGTTAACGAAATATTAAGGTTTAATTGTAAAAGAAATGAGAAATTATTGTTTATATAAAATACTTTACATAATTCTCATAAGTGATCGCATCACTCAAAAAGTTTGTAGGCTAACGTATAGATGTGAGATGAGAAGTGATGAGTCCATATGATTTGCCGATAGCACCAACTTTCAAACGAAATATGACAAATTTTCGTGACATTCCGATCGATATATTTACACGTTGCAGTTGTTTTTTAGTAACAGAATACGTGAAATTCAAATTTTGTCGATTGTTTTGCAAAAACCAAAGGAGGATCACTGAAACAATTGCGAGTTGTAAGCTAATGGCCAAAAATGGTGCTATCTAAAAATCATATGGATTCGTGAAGAATGGTAGCATCTATATGTTATCCTACGAACTTACTGAGTGACATCCCTATTTGAGGCTTCGACTTGTAGCTTATTGGGTGCTTCAGTTATCTTGCAATATTTTAAATCGAACAGCTTTCACTCAGTGAATCTAGACTTACATTTAGTTTTATGATTTTGAAAACTTTACGATTGATTTCTTCGAGATCTCGTCGCTAAAGTGTCGAACAAAATAGTTTAAAAATTCCCTTGAAACGCCGAAGATACAATCAAAAGTAAGATTATTAATCGGCAAAAAAAAAAAAAATTTACAAATAGTTAACTAAAAAAAAAAAAAAAAAAATAGCGGAAAAGTCTATAAATTTAAAGACTAAACATACGTTATGATAAAAATTGTACGGAGTAGTGCGAAGGCAGAATATTACTGTCAATGCATTATGCGTTGAGCATATATTTGTAAGAAGATTAAAGAACAACAATAATACAAACATAACATACCGCCCACACGGAACATATGCGGAGTCAAAGAGTCATTCAGCAAGTGCTCCAAATACAACAGTAGAACAACTGAACGACTAAACGGACTAAACTGAGAGCAAAAAGAAGAAGGAAATAAATCTAATAAAATTGAACAGAGGGAAAAATAAATTGACCACCAAGCTATGCAAAAGGAAAAATAGAAGAATAATGCTATGAAAGCGACGAAACAAAGAAACACATAAACATAATAATAGTAATAATAATATAATATAACAATAATAATAATAATAATAATAATAAAGAAAAACGAAAAATAAAAAACAAAAATAAATAAATAATGAATTCTTAATTTAGTTAGTGGTAATGCACGGCATATTGGCTGGCAGACTGGCTGAACATTTTCAATGTATTAATGAGTGCGAATATAAGAGTGTGCGCGCATATACCGAACGAAACCCTTAGCAGTTCATTAAGTGTTGTGATGGCATCAAATTAACAAACTATTGTATTGTAATGCGAACTTCTTTTAGGTCATTTCGAATTCATATCATCGTATTGTTCTTGTTCTTGTTCTTGTTCTTGCACTCTTACTTACGTTTTGCTTTGTTTCTCTTCGCGTTTAAAATAAACAACTATTGGTTGTTAATTTGTTTACCCATAACTTAATATAACATAATAATAATAATAATAATAATAAATATGAGTTGGAAATATCGAAAAATTAATATACAGGGGCAACAAGAGGGTAAGTGTGACTATGTGAAGCCCTATTTATCAATTTTGCAAAGAAATAACCGATGAAAAAGAAAAAAAAAAACTGGGGAGAGAATATCGTAAAATATCTGATACACGTTATGTATCTTCATGTTTGCTCTCAATCGAACCTTTGCTAACCACCGAACAGTAACGAGTGTTAGCGGCTTTTCAACCGGCTTCTAATAATGAAGTTCTTACAAAATGATAAATACTTTAGCAATAGTCTTTCCTTAATTTTTAAATTCTAATAATCCCTACAATAAATTTAGTTGACACAAAATTAAATTGCTGTAGTTTCTAGATTCTTCTCGTAGGAGACCACGCATCTCTACCCTTTTGAACGCAAGAAAAAAAAAACGCATTAAAATCTAAGTTTTGTCAAACTTTGAAAAGGTGTTTATGTCTTCACGCCAAGTTACTGAAAATATTCTTTGCCACTTGCCTAGTTACGAAGTGCGGCGGTATAGTCGGTTTTAATTCACGCGGCAGTGCTGATTCAAAGCCATAGTGAATGCTCGCTTGGTGGTCCCCATTGGTCGGGCGTATATCGTTTAAATTTTGATCGCTCACCTCAATTTATTGCTCGCTCGCAATTTATTTCATACCGTCGTACCGTGCACACCCTGAACGATTGTGGGTGTATACGCATAAAGGAATCTAGGCTAAAATCTAGGCTATACCTTCACGACATATTAATCGAGGTATTTTCTTACCGTACCAGTATTTACGTTGCTTTGCAATCGTTAGTACAGTGCGTGTTTAACCGGTAAAGTCATAACACACATCGATCGCGAGCAGCGGCTGCCTCTCTCTCCCCACTCCCCACTCCCCGCTTTTTTCTGACCACCACCCAGTTCTATGCTTAGCAGGCATCCTCTGAGTGATATATACTGAAAATAATTCGAATCTGGGTTTGCTGAACTTTCGACATGAATTTCTATCTTCATTACATGTTACTGAGGGCATTCTTTGCCCTTAATACGGTATAAAAACTTTTATTTCTGTTTAATGAAACTGTTCTCTAATAGATTTGCCTGAAATTAGGCAACAATTTGATATTAAAACTGTGCCTTAAACTCTCTTATACCGCAAAGAAATTAGGATAAATACTTCGCCATTCAAAGACTCTGCAAAAAGGGGGAGAGAGAGTTTTTTTTTTACAGTTTGCACCGTGAAGCAGGTGGAATGCTTTTAATCCAACACCTTAGGCCTTTATGCCACCGTTTTGATTTTTTCTACCGTTTCATCAAGCTTAAGGCTTGAATTGAAATCAGATTATACTTACTTCCAAACTCTATTCTACAGACAAGGACGGAGAAAAACGATCCCAAAGTTCAACCTTGCAATGCAATTACGCTAACACTACAGATATTTAGAATGTCACAATTGCTTACGTGTTCCCTCTCCAGGGTCTCTGACCTGTACATATGAGTCTCTCTAACGAAACGATTATTTGTACTTCTTGGATGATATCAAAACTTACGTTCGACGTTCGATTTATGGTCCTAAACTTTTATCTGACTTTGTGTCTCATTAAACAAAATATAGATTGAATGTTAAGCAAAAATTCGTTCATCGTTTACCCGATTTACCCGTTTAGTTAACGGGTATTAAAAGCCGATATTTAGTATTCTCTAGGGAGGCGTGGAATCTTTTGTTTAACTTATTTAAATAACTAATTTTAGTATAAATAATTTTTTTTCTCCTCTCGTTTCAGCTCTTTTCTGTCTTATGTTAATGTTGTGTTCAATCATCTACAGTGGATGGGCAGATGAAACATTTCCCAATAAAATCACTTTCCAGAAAATAACCCAAACATCAAAATTGCCAGCAAAGTTGAACGATAGCATATCCAAGTCGACCTCATCTATTCCAGTAATATCGTCTACGGAGACTAGTAATATTTCGACTGACACGTCAAATGTAACGAATTTATTTCTAATATCGTCTACAACGGAAGCAAGCGATGCCAGTAATCCCAACACAAATGTTTCAAATATTTGCTCAGAAGGTATAAAATCTATATTAAGCAATTCCGAAGATGAGAAACCTATCGTTAAAACAGAAAGAGAAATCGTGCAAGTCCTCCAAGGTGAGGTTATGTTAAGCATTCTAACTACGGATCCTATCTCCGCCATGTTTGTGGTAAATCGTTTAAACGTAGCCAATCTATTAGAAGCTGATTTTGAAATCGGTAAACAAATCCATTCATTTCGAATTCGTTGTAAATTTTCAGTTTGATTTATTCAGGTGTGCGCGCCATACAATTGGACGGCGAACAATCGGCTCAGAATTTATTGCTGCAAGAAATTCAATATCAACAGCAATGCTTAACCCATTCCTTGGGTATATTCATCGATTACGACTATTTTAAAATGATGGCAGAATTTATTAAAGAGTTAGAATACCGTATATGGCCGATATCGTCAATACGTGAGGATATCTTCCCCAAGGTCGCTCATCTATTGTATCAAATGCCATGGGGCGATCAGATTGCTTCTGTCGAGATCCTATCAGAAACTTTACAAATTTACAATGATTTCACGGATGCCGTGCGACGAGAACACATGTGTCTGATGCACTTTAAAAGCGACAACAACATTTATATACTGTTCGGCAATAAAATGGCCATGAATTTCAAAGAGAATGGCACTATATTTGCGGTCCCTACTGAGAGAACTGAACGCGGTTTCATAGCCGGTATACATGAACCCTAGAGGATGGCATTGCCCTTAGAAATTTTAAAAAGTTTTCTTCTTTTTTTTTTGTTCTCAGATTTACCGGACAGATCCTATATATTGATGGAAAATGAAATCAATTTGAAAATTATTGACCAAAATTCGACACAAATAACACTGGATGAACCATTGGTAGGCAAGACGATATTATCGTCGAGAGTATTGGCTTTATCGCGGCCTTTATTAAAACTGATGCGTTGGTTTAAAAGCTTCCTCGAAAAACATTGTCGCCGCTTTGAAGATCTATTCATATTAGAGAGCTGCACTCAGTTTTTAGAGTTCATTGATAATGACTGGATGAACTCCGATCGCGCCTCTCACCAAGACACCGCTGAGTTATTGGATTTATTTCGCATGCGTCGCCTTACGACTTTAATGAATTTTCAAATGTTTCAAAAGCATTCGGCGGCAAACGCAGACGTTGATCTGCTCTCTTCAGTATCGCTGGGGGACGATCATTTAAGGCTGCGTGAGATTGCCTCGCAAAATTTCGTTACCAATATCACTACGTATTACCATTACAATCAGGATAATCAAACAAGCGTTGAACTGAAAACAAAATTCGGCAAAGTATTCAATTGTCAATACAGTGCCGCGGAGAATCCCCGTCATCCGTTTTTGTTCGACGGAGATTCGGTTATGTTTTGGCGTATAAAACCCGAAACTTGGGTGGCTACTGGAATGACAGCCGCCATCTTGGGCGTCATCTGCACCTTAGCGATATTAGTGTTTATTATAGTGCGCATATCTTTGGGCGATGTTTTCGAAGGAAATCCAGTTACTTCAATTCTTTTGCTCTTATCGCTGCTACTAATGTTTACCTCTTTCGTGCCTTTCTCAATGGAGTACGTGGGCGAACAACGCAACTCTCACGTTACTTTTGAAGATCTTGCGACCCTGAATACTCTCTGCGCTGTCCGAATTTTTATTCTAACACTCATCTATTGTTTTGTTTTTTGCATTCTTCTTTGCCGTGCTGTCATGTTGGCTTCGATTGGTTCGGAGGGTGGTTTTCTGTCACATGTTAACGGTTACATTCAGGCGGTAGTATGCATTTTTAGCGTACTGGTCCAACTCGGCATGTCTATACAATTATTGGTTGTGATGCACATAGCTTCCGATCGTATATCCTGTGAAAATATTTATTATGGCAATTGGCTATTCGGCTTATTATCTTACGATGCGCTATTGTTGTTGAGCTCCATCGCCTTGATACCGTTTATATATCGTTCGCAACGCAATTACCGTGAAGGTATCCTGATCGTTATTGGTTGTGTCTTAATCCTCATAATATGGATTGCTTGGATCACGATATCTTTCTTCGGCGACGACATGCGTGATGCTGCTATACCATTAGGTCTGCAAGCATGCGGTTGGGCTGCTTTAGTGGGCATATTGATACCTCGAACATTTTTAATTGTACGTGGTATCGAACGTTCCGACATTGCTCAGGCCTTGCCTTCATTAACGTCACTTGCATTTGCTCAAAATAATCAGTACTCGTCTGAACAGGTATGACATACAATGAACTTTCTGCATTTTCCGGGCTACTGTTATTTATTTTTTTGTTCTGCGTAGAGCGTGTACGAGTGCGTTAATCCAGCTATGCGCAATTGCCAGGATGATGAGAGTCATCATCATCACCATCAATCACCCAGTGAAATACCAACACTTCCGCTGCGTGGCGGTGGTCCCAGACGTCAACAAATGTTCGCAAATTTACGTCAAACTCATGCTGTCGGCAATGGTGGTGGTGGCGGCATGCGTCGCCAAAACACCACTCGAGTACAACGCGGCAGTCCCACCGGTTCCTGTGAATCATCTTTACCTCCCTCACCGGAAAACAGTAAAATAACCAGATTTTAATATCATTAAACCGTCGAAATTTTCAGGCGATGAAAACTTCCATATTAAGGACCAAAAGTAACGGAACTTTTTATTCGATTTTATCATGTCAGACTAATTCGAAAAGGAAATGAAAAAGACCTAACAACTAATTAACGGAAAAATTTTTACCGATGAATGGTTGATGATATATAAAAGTTTTTTTCTAATCAAACTTTTCTAGTCACTCTGTACGAGCTCTTAACATTTAAGGTTAAAATATTTATTAAATAATAATATTTATACAAAACGGCCCAACTTTCTTAACTGCCTTTAAATTTCAATAAGTGATGGCATTGATCGATTGAGCAGAAATGTACACTTGAGACGCTTGGAATCATTTCTTATCACTTACAAAATTTGAAAACTGTCAAGATATAAAAATGCCCTATTAAATATGAAATGCGCGTTATGGGCTAAGGATAAACTTGTGCGTAATTGAAGGGCAGCTTTTAATACGTTACTTTGGGTCGGTTATTCATAGAACGAAGTGCTCGAGAAAGTGTTGCGATACAAATCATTTTCAATAGCATTCGTCCCTAGGCCGCAACGCATCACTCTACCAAGTTTAGAACGATTCAGAATGTGATTCCGAATCGATCGTGAGTCTTTATGCACCCTTGTGCCGTAGATGAATTAAAAAACTATATTTAAGATTTAAAAGAGTAAATGTGAATAGAAATCTATGCTAAATATGACACGCAACCTGTCCTCATAAATATTTGAAAACGATACTCTCTCTTGTTCTCATTGCATTTGCTTACGAACGTTTGGCAACTGGTTCAAGTTGAACAAAGTTTAGTGTCGGGACGGGAATACATTCATGCCTCATGTCTCCCATCAATAATAATCTCTAAATATCGAGTTGAATCGTTCAGACATCGCATACAGTAATTTAATATGAAAAGCTCGAAAGGATTTCAATGGATGCCTAAAGCCAATTTTGAGTTTAGAAAAGAAGGTATTAATGGTAATCGTCCGTTCGTGTTTTCCTAGCATTCTAGGGGCTTTCACGTTAGATAACCCAATATTGTAGCACCTCTTGTAGTACTCTTAAGTTTTCTTATCTCTACACTTCACTAAGTGTTAAAGCATAAAGCTTAGTCCCGAATTCGTTTGCCCATTTTTGAAAGTCGCATAGCTTTTTATTAACATAACTTATTGAATTAATTCTCTCGGTATGTTGTAGTAAAACGAAAAAAAAAAAGGGAAAGGAAAAGGAAAAGCTTAACATGGCGCTTTACAAAGCTATAAGACTTCTCTAATGAAAGTGAAAACTTTTAAAGCTTTCACAGTGCATTCTTGGAATGTTAAATCTTTGAAGCTTTTTGATTTTTTCTACATCAAATCAGCCGCTTTTTCTCTGCGATGGAAGAGAATCAATTAATTGCACAACATTGAAAGAAAGAAAAGCTGCTAATTATTATTATTATCGATTATATAACAATGGACTTGAAGAAAGCAGAGCAGAAGCATCAAAATAATTTTTAGAGAATTTTGGATTTATGCAGTTGCGAAACAACCATCATCGTTGCCTTTGTAACCAAAGAGGAATATGCTACAAAACATTGAAATCGAGATTCGTTTATGTATGACAAGCAGAAACACCTTAGTGGGACACGATCGAGCACTAAATATGTTACACAACTACAACCATTCATATAAGGACTTTTCAAAATAATGGTTTTATATGGAAAGTGCTCGAAAAACTGCTCCAACCCGAACAAATTTCGATAGCTCTCATCAGGGTACAAAAGAAGTTGATGAGACAACTGAAGAATTTCAAGCTGTACGATTGAACCGAAATAAACAAGACGGACAGACAAGGTTAATATTATAATAAAAACAAAGGTGGATGTCTCGCAAACCCTTCAGGGATTGTTACACATACCCCGTATACCACAAGTGGTGTAGGATATAAAACAGCTTTTATTAATTCCCAGCACGTCTTTTAGGCTCAACCGGTTCTCCTTTCACATCGACGATTTCGGCGCTTTTGTACCTTATATGCTATGCGCGTAAATCAATTACAAACTTTGAAAAGATCTGCTAGATACTCGCACGTGCAACGAACGGAATAATACGTTTAGTGTACGTCGATTCCCTATTAACGGCATATCTACGTCACGCGTAAATACGTCGGTTGTCCTTGCTATTAGAAAATGATGTTTAATCAGTTTTCCACAAAACAGCAAAAGGTAAAAAGTGTATGCAAATAGCGAAGTGTGTGTGCATTTACGATGTGAAATGAAAACGCATACATACACTTCATCTTTGTTACATACATTATATCCACACCACTATTCGTGTAGGAACTGACAGAGTCTTTTTCCACTTTTACTTATATTATTAAAAAAAAAAAATAAAAAATACAAAATAAAAATGTTGCTTTTATGGCTTCACATTATGACAACTGACGTCAAAAGGTTGTGTTTTCCATAGTCTTAACTATTCATTTACGTCTCTTTTATATGTGCACGCCATTATCGAATAGGAGGAATGCAATAATTTGCGTGTTGTTTGTTACATACGAAAATAAGCATCGGGCAAATCCACAAAAAACGTACCGGAAGGACTAAAGACTTAATTTCTGCCGCTTAAGCAAACGGGACAATCGACTGCCCAGTAAATGACGCCTTTCGATAGTTTTCTAGTTCTACAAGAACAGGCGCCTTTGTGCTGTAACGTGATATTTATGATCAGTGCGGAATATTGAAACTTTGCTTAAATTTTGCTGGAATCTGCCTTATTTGGGTAGACAAGTTGCGCGAAATTAATGCAAAGTTAACACGAGTGACGACAAAATTGCTTTTTGCGTAATTGCCTCAGGGATGTCTTCGTTTTGCCCACCCATCAACAGTAGTTGCATTTAAGGAATTTGAATCGCTGTCGTAGTTCGCAGTTTCTTGTTAAAACATTTCCGGCCAAACCCATCTCGACACATGATTTGGGGCCATTTAATTTGATATGATAAGTCAAGCAGGGCAGGTCGTTAAGCTCTTTTTGGAAGTTTTACGCTCGTTTTATGATCGCTTTCTTCATTCTACCGACGAACGATTGAATTCAAACCAGCAAAGCAGACCCAGTGTATTAGATTTCACAGCCAAGTTTGACACAGCTAGAATATTACAGTTGGATGAGGCTGACCATTCGATAACCTATCCATCACTTCATGTAACACATTTCTTCATTTTCTTTCGTTGCAAAATGCTAAATAAAATTTTCATGGGAGCCCTTATATGGAAGCGGGGCCAAAACGTATTCTGACGTCATCTAAGTTTAGCATCAGAGATTCATTCCTCTTCACTTCACACGTTCTCGTCGCAAAATAGTAAATTTAATTTCCCTATGTCAAATTACCCTTGGAGGGTAATCGTCGTAAAACATTCAGCAAAGCAGATCCCTTCGGCTTGATTTTCAACAGAACCCTTATAGACGATGAGATGTATAAAAAAGGGACGGACAGGTAGTCAAATGTGGAGACGGACAGACAGGCTTAAATCGAATCAGTAAATAATTTCGAATCGATTGGTGTAATAAAAAGTGGGTCTTTCTTAGGTTCCTATGGGACTTGCATGCATCCGCTCGTAGCTAATATGCCCTGTACTATAAATTATGTGGGATATGAATGTAATCAGCAGCAAAGTCCAGTCTTCATTATACTTGATATGATTCTACTTATAAGGAAAAACTTGTCTTTTCTCATAACTCTGAGAAAGAAAGCTTTAAAGTCCCTATTGACGGGTTAGTTTAAACAGGGAAATGCTTTTGATTATTTTCTCACTTACGATCATTTTCCAGGAATCGCGACAATACTGTCAGTTACAATCTACGATCCTGTTCAATACCAAACAGCAATAAAAAAATTTGTGGGAACTCAGTATGACTTAACGGATTCAACAGATCGAGTGAGGAAGTTTACTCGACTATGCGCAGTCAGTTCTATAGTCGACTCCCATCCGTAAACCTCTAGTTGCTACTTATTAATTGCAGGCGCTTTCGGTTAAAAACAAAAACAAAAAGAATAACGCTTGCTGTCTCTCTTTGAAATACATTCAAATTCTCCGCAATTTTTTCCTGAGCTTGGCGCAAGTGGATTCAAAAAGTATTAAGACTTCCTCCTCTTCTACTTCTTCGACTATTATGGCCATGTAGTGGAGACAAACTAACGACAAATATTATTTGCCTATCGCGCGTCGATCTCCACAAGCCGGTAGAGCAGAAAACTCTTCGGGGGGATAATGACTTTTTCATCAAAAATTCATCAAAGGAATATCATCGGGAATAAATGAAGATGAATGAAAAAAACCCATTTTTTTGGACGAAAGCGAAAGTAAAAAGTCACACCCCATTGACCATTAAAAATATTAATACAAGCATTAACGCAGTTCGAGTTCTGCCAGCCTAAGAAAAAAAAAGAAAAAAAAGTGCTAGTTGGGATAACACTGCACTACTTCTTAACCACATCGTTGCGCTTTGTTGAACAGCATTAAACGGTTTAATGGTATTTTGTTTAAGAAAAATGTAATTAAAATTTCTCTATAGTAAGTGAAGGATTTCTGTTATTGTAAGCAAACGTATAGAAGGTATAATTAATTTTATTTCGCTCTGGCATCTGCCATCAATGGAGTGCGGCACCTAACCCGTGCCAGAGCATCGATAAAGTATAAGATCATGCTTATTTCTCCATACATCTGTGACGTGGCGACACAACTATTATATGCCGCTTGGCTTATGCACCTCTAAGAAGTATATCACAATTAGCAAAATCGCAGACCCCAGTCTGCTTAATGATGACTACCTTTTTGTTCATCCATGAATGAGGAAACAGTTTTGAATCTGTTCGTTTGTCTGTCCCTGTCTGGATTACAAATTTGTCTTAACATTTTCCGATGTAAAGATAAAAATATGGCGAATTAAAATCAGTCTTTGGTTTATTTGGCTTTATTTGATTTACGTTAGTGCGTTATGTAACAGTCAAGTAATAAAATGCTTACACACACACACACACACGCGCGCAATTTTAACGCTAACATTGTATATTTTGCTTTAAAGTCAGCAGCAATATGAAGCGACGGGTATATAACGCAAAGTATTGGAAACAAACCAAAGCAAAAAGGCAGCAAAATCAAAAATATTCAGTCAAAGGCGAATTTCATTGCACATTACTGCTTTGATATGCTATGCGCTGAAAGAGGCAATAAGGAAAAGAGGAAGTATAGGAACAAGGATCCGATTCGAGGCGATTTTTCAAATATTTGC